GAAAAAAACAGGCCTAATGCGAACTTTTGAGTGTCATCTTGTAGTGCTTGCTTCTATCTGTCGAATGGTACCTCGCATCTTATCATGAATTCAAGAAGAGCTGACTTATGTCGGTAGAAAATTAGATATGAAAGATTATGGGAATACCTGATACAAAAATCACGGCTGAAACTGTTTAAGGAAAAATTATCTTGTGTGTCTCCAGTAGCTAGGAGTCGGTCCTTACTGTAGGACATACCGAAGTTGCGATTTTATGTTCTGGATAATGCTTGAGGTCAATAATGTGTTATGCGGATGTCAAGCTGTCAAATCGTTCAATTACTTGTAGCTTCTGCTAGCACCTAGGTTAAATATTTTAAAGTTCGGGAGTACACGGTGAACATTCATGAAATTATCTTACTACGTTATAGGAATTGAAAAAGAGCTCGAATCTTATCTCAAGCGATGGGACTTACAACGACTGGCAACATTCTTTTGGTTGAAAGTGAGGCTTGGGCGTTTGCTGCTATATTTCAGAGGACTTTATCTAGGTGACAATGGAAGGAGAGCCCGTTTGTCCTTTCAACGGTGACCATAAGTTGCCGTATGAGAAGCTAGTGATCGCTTCACGACCAGAAGCTGCTTTCAATCATCTTCCAATTACCGCAGCTGACGGAAAAGTCTATGCCAGGTAAGTTTTTGACGATTGATGTGGATTATAGATTGTGACGGATTTACACAGGCATATTTTCAGCATTCCAATGGCAGTGCCTTCTCGGAAACCTCCTGTTGTGCCTATATTGAATCAGTATGGTTTCTTTCCCAATCAGTGAGTATTGCAGTTGTTGTATCTGCAACCTTATAGCCTAAATTAGTATCAGTCATTAGTTTTCCAGGTGCCTTGAGCTTTTTGCTAGAAGTCTGCAACCAAATACTGTATCTGTGGGCTTCGAAACCCTACTGTTACAGTCATCTTCATGTTTCGTCTCCATTAGCGATTGAGTTTACGCAAAATCTCTACTTTGTTATCTACAAAATCCGGGGTGGTCATTTTTTGCGAGATCTCCACCTGTACATAACCTCGCATAAATTTTTCTATGATCTCATTGAAATGCAGCTTAGTGCAGGTCAGTTTCAAAGGTGCGAAGTCCACATTCAAAAACTGAGAAGAGATGGGGCTGATAGGTCATTTTTTCAGTGCGCTCACTGAGTCTAGAGTCTAGCATATGGTATCTGGTATGGTTGAATACAGGACCGAAACCAGCTTTATTTTAAGCCGAACGTTTCTGCCGACGTGATCAAAATTCAAGGAAATTTAGACCAAGCAGCTCTATGAGAATTTTCCGATATACACTATTATATTAGGTGGGCCCGAAAGTTCGTGCCGTTTTTCGGATACATGCTCAAATCA